GAACAGAAAAAGAACAGAAGGGAGAAAGGATTCTGGGGGGTGGGGGAAGGATTCCTTGGAGCAACTGGACTATGACTGGATAGAGGAGAAGTCCTACAGTCTGCCCTGATGCCTTGCAGCTGATTTCCTCCTCTATTAACAAGGGGGCTAAGGAGGAAGTCTCTTCTACCCAAAGCTCTGGACGGGTACAGCCACCGCTCTGAAAGGCAGCACAAGAATTAGGGTCACACAGAAACAAACCTTGTCTGTCTAAAAACTAAGCACAAAGAGTTTGCTCTTGGAGAGAGGATACTTTAGAAGAGCCCGAGAAGCCATCCCTCCATGCCCAGAATCTGTCCAACGGCATGCCATCACCCAGAGCTCCAGGCTCGCAGGCACCCTCCTGACCCTGCATTTCTAGAAACATGAGGACATTCTTCCAGGCCACACAAAGGTTGGGCCCTCCCCTGCTTTGTGATCCTCTCTGCCTTCAAGCCACACCTCTTCCAGTAGGCCTTGGGTGGGGGGCCTGAGATGTAGGTCAGATAGAGCAGTATTCAATGCTAGAATCAGATCATGGGCCTGGGAAAGTCTACTTTCCCCCTTAATCTTCCATTATGGGAACAAGGGCATGTTCTTCCCTGGATGAGCATGGCTCCTCTCCCATGTTGAGGCTCTCTGCCTCTGGATTAGAAGTCTAAATCCTTGAGTTTAGTCAATACCAGACACAAACATAACAGGACACTAGGGGAAAGATGGGGTGAAGAAGGGTCATCCAACCCCTGACCTCTGACCTTCCCTACCACTTACTCTTTGGTGTCAGGTGGATTTAGGAGAGAGTTCACTACACGGAGAGGGAGTCCCATCTCAGACTCAGATCTCCACAGGCACTCTCCTGGGATCCACTAATGCCAGAGGGAGCAAGAGGCCAACTATGCCCCTCCTTCCACCAATGTCTCCAGGAAAGACCAACCCCACTCTTTCTTAAGGAACTGCTTCCCAAGCCTCATTTTTAGAGACGTGACACTTCTGTGTGACCATAAAGAGCCTATCTGATTGTGAACAACCCTGCCTCCCTGAGGGTTCCTGAGGATATACACATCCTTGATGCAGAGAACAAGCCAGACACAGCTCACTGGCTCCCAAACTCTCCAACCCTTGCCACATCCAATCACCTGAAAATCTCCATGTCCAGCTCCAGAGCACAAGCCAGTAAGCTCCCTCCCTCCATCCCTACACCCAGGGGCCCTCAGATGGTACACTTCCAAGTCTGAGCTTCTCCCTCCAGACCTTGTTCCCAGCATCCTCAGATTCTGGGCAGACACCGTGGCCTGCAAGGGGGTAGAGGCTCTTCCCTTGCCCTCCTCTCCCTTCCCTTTCCCCTTGGCTGCCTATCTGATCATCCTTGGCCAGCCTGGAGGTAGTAAGGAGTGGATAGCAAAGCTAAGATAAGGGTCAGGCTTGTTCCCTGGACCAGGAGTCAGGGACTTCTCCTGGGGCTGTCCATCTCCCTCAAAGTGTAAGCTGTGAGAACACAAGCTGTCTCCCTTAAGCCAAGAGGGAGACAGTCTTGGAGAGAGCAAGACTGCAACTCCTTCAGGCTTTGTAGCCCTGAGGCAATGGCTGGAGCAAAGAGAAGGCGGACACTGAGAAGGCAGTCTCCGTCACACTGGGTCCCTTCTAGCTCTGCTCTGTCCCCAAGGCAAAGAGCCACCCTAGATGCCTCCCTCCGAGCCTGACCAACATCCCAGCCAATTCTGGAGCTCCCAAGGGATGAGAGCCCTGGGACAAAAAGCAATGATCTGTCCTCTGAAGATCCCAAGGCTATCCACACCCTTCTCAGGGCAGCGGGTAGGGGAGGTAGTGGTCACCTGGCTGAGGGATAAAAGAAAGGCTCCTGGTGCCAGAGCTCTTCCTTTAGCTCCCTCACAGGCCTCCGGCCCCCATCCCTACCAAAGAAACACAACAACAAGAAAAGAACAGGGCCACTACCACAGGTCCCACTCAGACGGGGCAAACCGGGCAAAAGCCAGAGTTCAATTTTTGAAATCAACGGAACCGCAGAATTGTGGAAGAAATCTCCTTCCCAAAACACTGGTCCCCTTTTCTCTTCTTCCTCCAGCAGCTTGACTCACAATTATCCTAGGCAGTTATCTGTAGGCACCCAAACCAGGAAAGGGTCTGTAGGCGCCCAGATGCAGATGAGGGTGGGAAAAGGTGGAGGGGGGTGTCTCGGAAATGCCCAAAATGGGGTTGGAGAGGGCGGGGGGCGGGGAGGTTAAGGAAAACCAGAGGTAGGCATCCATGACCGCCTGAATTCGTCCGAAGTCTCCTCGGGAGCAGCTAGCTCCCAACTTGTTTACTTATTGGCATGTTTTGCTGTCTCCAAAAGGAAACAGTTAAAAAAAAAAAAAATTCTAGACTGGTTGTCAAGCAAATCCCTATCTGTCACCTTCCCTCCCCGGCTAAGCACTGCCTCTGCCGCCGCCGCTATCTGCCACCGCCTGTCAGGAAACCGAGCCGAGCCGCCTCTACTTTATTCCACTTGAGCGTGGCCAAACTGTTGCTATTTAGTGGGGGGCAAAGAACCCTCGAAACGAGCCGGCCGAGGGTGGGGGGCGGGGACAGGAGCTGGGCCCCAGGTGCCCTCCGCCCGGAAGGGTCCTCTCCAGAGAGAGGTACCCACCAGCACCCTCGGAACACGCCTGGCTAGCGATGGAGTCACCTGGAACACGCAGCCCCACAGCATCTCCCGAGCCAAGGCGAGCCTGACGCGCGCCCCGCGGGCTGCGAGCAGAGGCGAGCTAGGGAGCGCAGGGCCGGTTCCGGGGCCGCGGGCGGGCAAGAGGGAGACGCGGAGCTTGGGGGAGGAGGGGGCGGGGGGCTGGGCAGCCGCCTGACTTACATGGAAGTGATATTCCTTGAGATGTCCGTGATGTTGATGCTGGCGTTCCCATTGCTGTTCCCTGAATCCTGCCCTTCCAGGAGGGGGAAGAGATTCCCATCGTCCGGCCGCCGGCAATTGATCTCAGTCTTGCTGCAGACACAATTTGCAGGGCAAGCCAGCACGGAGCCCACATAGTCCAGCCAGACGCTTCCCAGCAAGAAAATCCGCCAGAAACTACACTTGGCTGGGCAAAGAGAGACATCCATCTCCGATCGCTGCTTCTAAAAAAGAGGAGGAGGAGAGGAGAGGGGGGTGGGGTG